CAGCGTGTCCGCAACGATGATGTGCGTACTCGAGTACTAGGTGGTGATAATCATGCTAGCTCCCTAGAACAACAAATAGCACTGAATAAGTTGCGTTGGCTCGGGTACGTGCTACGTATGCCTGGTCACCGCTTACCTAGGAGGGCCTTGTTTAGTCTGCCAGGTGTAGGGTGGCTCGAGGTGGACAGAAGTTGACTTAGCAGCGGGAAATGAAGCCACTGACGACCAAACTGGGTGCCGTTGGACCGTCTCGCCTTCCGGGCTGGAATCCACGTGACTCGCCTTGTGCTTGGCTCGAGACTTTACAGGACATGGCTCGCAACCGACACCAGTGGCGCGTCTGCTGCCATCTTCTAATCGGATTGCCTGTTTAAAGTGTGTTTGGTGCTGAGTTATCTGCGGGATGATGGCTGATTATGACACGTGGAAGTGAAAGCCGCAAGGAAGCTGTCTCGTCGATGCCGACTTATCTTTGCACGATAGCCAGCTGTTTGCGACGGTATGTTGTCTACACAAGGTGTAGGCGCTTTGACCCTGAATATTTGCTTAGGGAATTAAGGTTTTCAGGTAAGTCCCCTTCTCTCCCTCTTCTTATTCTTTATTTCATAGGTCTTCATGGTTGCATGGCAGTGAAGCATCAGTTCAAATGGCTGATGTACTGCTGCTGCTGATGATGGTACCACAGCCTTATTCAACTTCTGCAGTCCGGTCTCAAGTTCATCTTCTGAGCGAGAGGGCGGGTTTAAAGGTACAGCCCAGGACCGATCCGTAACCTTAAGGATCACAAGCCTGTCTTGTACTCCGAGGGTGCGGGTTCAGACCTGCGTAGAGGCAAGTGACCCTAGCAGCATCCTTAGCCTACGTGCAACTGATGGTGGTTGCGTGGCAGCGAAGCGTCGATACTACGTACCGGCGTACTGTTGATGCCCAGGAAGCAGGGCGGCCACTGGCCGTGAGAAATCTAACAATCCCGGTCGATTACATTACCTTTCAAAGTGCTCAGTCCAAAGCTCCAATTCGACAGAGCTCTGTAAATTATCCTCTACGATGGTAAAAGTACCAAGGAATTATTCAAAGTTAAACGATATAATTGTACTCTCTGTAACTTGAACAATAGCTAAATTAGTAACTGTGCGTAATAGCGTGTTAATTTCGAGGCAAAAGGTTTCTGTTAGCACCGGGATTAGTCGGTGAGCGCATATGAGGAAATTACAGACAGCGACTGGTGGCGCAGTGTACCAACCTTAGCTGGGACTGCCAATCAGGCTATACATAGACGGCTGCTCCAATGATCGAGCAAATACCGATGATTCAGTTCTAAAGTTGTGAACGATGTTCATTTTCATCTGCCCTGTGGTTGCTGAGTCAACATCTTCGGACGCATGTAACCAACAGTTAGCCGCAAGTAGTTCGGCAACTGTATGAGGTTAGCTAAAGAATAACCTGTGTGCAGTGGCATCGATAATCGAGTGACTTCCACTGGTTTCACTTTCCGATACGCACTACACGCTAACAGGTTCAATGAAAAGCATCAGAAGTGTGTAGACAATCAGTACCGATGCTTCACTACCATGCGACCATCAATTGTCGCGCGTGGGCTGAATATACAGCGATGCCGCCGCACCTGTGAGGATTCGAACCGGTGACCGGATTACAAAGCAAGTGCGTAATCTTCTCGGCCACCGGCTTGTATACCTAGTTGTCTCAGAGTAGACCAGTGAATGCGGCCAGAAAACCGGGTGATTGGATGAAGAGCTGTTGATGATTGGAGTCCAAATAAAAATTGTGGAAGTGTAGTTGCATATGGCAAAATCCAATGATAATATAGCTACTATTAGGTCTAGTTCGTAATGGAGGTCTAGAGGAAGGTGAGATAAACAAGTAAGATATGAAAATTAATCGCATTTTTTATTTGTCTAGCCTGATGTGCACAACGAGCAAGGTGGCCCTTCTGAAACTAGGAAACAAATTGCAGGGTGTGGCTCATCATCATCATCATTAAACACGTTAGCTGCGGGTGGAAAACAGCTATGGTGCTGCAATATTAAAGACAAGAAGAAAAATATACAACAGTGGCACGCCGGCTGAGTCCCAAGTAACGGATGGACATCGTTCCGGAGAGCTAACAGCCGGCCATCGTGCCGTAAAAATAGTTATATAATGCCTAGCGAATGAGATCCAGGGTGTGGTTAACGTTTGGTGAAAGAAATCCATGGTTGATGTGAGTAAGGATATTGTCAGGACCCTCAATCAAGGGCTTTAGCTCAAGTCTGACCACATAGTAGCAGGAATATTGAAGGGATATGGCTTCATATAAGTGGAGGCCAGTCAAATCGCAATCCCCAACCTAGAGGGCTAAGTGATCAAGTGTGCTTTTTTAACCTCTAACCAATGGCGAAGTGGCAGGAGTGGACCTCAAGGGGCCCGAAGTGTCGCTCAATATAGCTAAATGCATAGGGAAGGCGAGTAAATCGTCAAGCCACGTCAAGATTCAGTCTCCACCAAGCATAAACACTTCGTAGGCATCAGTGGTAAAATATAGTAAGCATCTCAAAGCCTTCGGTGCGCGATGGAGATTTTTGATGCATACAACATAAGGGGGTGCATTGAAGTGCATGCCATTTCATCAAATGACAAGTTTGTGTCCCACCGTATAAGCAAACGAAGTTTGGTAAACCATACGAGTTTATGCGAAGTGCGCATCAACCTCTTCAGTGAGGTAACCACAATGAGTGATACCAACGACTGGATAAGAATCGATGGATCCGATCGAACAGTTGTTCGCTGATGATGGGAACAGGCAGTGTGTCGGTCCAGATGTATAACGACGTCCTACACATAGGAGAGGCGAAGCAAAAACGAAGAGTGCGGCGCTTGTCAAGCAGCTAGGTATAATCCGAAGAGATCCATATCATCGTATAATCTAAGTCTGGTAGCTAATACTCGATCGGAACTTATATACCATGAGTGGGAAAGCAGGAGTCCTTGGATAGAGTCGAGAAATTGAGGTACAAGATAGTCCTGATGAATCCGATTGGCGTGACAAACAGAAGAGGCAGATTTCCATAGACCGATAGACGGGATCGGCAGTAAGCCGCAACTCTTTACTGCTGATACCTAGCCTCATTTGTTACCAATTTTATCGGTCTTAAGATGACACGGATGACACCTAGGTCCGCCTCACCACCGTACATAGATTTTAATCGAATGGCAAAGGACTGGACAGTACAACCGACTACAGGTCAATGATTACGCTGTAGTGAAGCACCGGTACTGGATACTGTTGTGGCAGTATATGGCAAGTGCAAATGTCTAGGATAGGCAACTCCGAGCTGACTAAACCAAGCTCCTAACATCAGCACATGTCGCATGATTCATCGCGAGGAAACTGGACTTTAATGTGGTTCGATGGTTTTTATGCTGGAACGATCTGTTGATCTATGCTGGGTGACGCTTTCTGAACATTCGGAGCCACTCATAGCAGATAGGTCAATGGTTAGAGGCCAGACGAACTCAGTCTCTTGGTCCTCCAAATTAGTAGCTGTAGTAAGGATGGCTCCCAACTCCATAAAACGGACTCTTGCTGTTTTGGGGTTATGTTCTTGAAGCAAATGCAGTGGCTGAAAACCCTAATGGTTCTCCTGTTTATGTCTGGGGAACCTGACAACATCCTGCCCAAGCAATATAATGGAACCATTCCCAAGCAATTTCTTGATACTCTGGAGGTCGAAAAGAATAACCGACGGTACCCTATCTGCCTCATCGAGCAGGGTGGATAGAGGTGAAGAAGCTACTGCTCATGATCTCCATGGTACTTATCCTCCTAGTTGCGTTCAACCCTCCTGTACGGCTGTAAAACTTGGCCCATCAGGTCGATGGATATAAAGAAGCTGGTTGCGTTCGATGATCCATGCCTTCGCACTTTAGCTCATGGCTAGTAGGAGCACCGCGTAAGCAATGAGCATGTTCGGTACTTCGCATCTGGCGTAGAAAAGGCAAGTGGACCGCTCAGATCTGTTATATGACGCAGGAGGCTCTAATGGTTACGATATGTGTTGCGTATGCTAGCACAGCGAGACATGAAGATTCCGCTGTTTAACTGCGGATTGTTGAGTAAAATATTCTGAAATTATCTTTTATTATGTACACATGCAATTAGGCGGCTTGTTTGTTTTAAACGTTGATCACGTTTGGTTGAGGCGACACGCGAAAGATATATACTACCTGCCGATATCTTCATACTGCACGCGCTTACTTTTCCTCCAGGTAGCTTTATGCTAGGTGCCCTATTTTTAGCTGTGGCTAGACTATCGCCAATTTAGAAAATCATTGTCAGGTTTATTTCTTGTTTCTTCGCTCAGCTACGGTCGGCCGTTCGTTCGCGTATCAGGTATATAGCGAACGACCTCCGCACTATAAACCGACCTAAATAGCGTTTAGGTTGCTTTTTTGTCCCTTACTCTCCCGCAAAGATTCCCCCTATGACCTCGATCTCACACCTGATGCATAGTATGATACTACGCATTTCATTATTTGGTTATGGCTTCTATCTGATGTTCTGCGCTGTTCAGCATCACTTATTTCATATCTTTTTGTATTACAGCACAATAACGGTTTCTCGCGTCAAGCTAACGCACAATGATGTGTTGCATGCCATACTGCGTCTGACTGAATGGAGTAGTGGAGTGACCAGTTCATGATAAAGTTAGAAAACGAAAGGCATAGTAAGACTGTTGCATACCACGTTAACGATGGCCTCTGGATCGATTATAATCGGTTAGATATCTCGATATGGCATAATCGAAAATTTAGGGTGACCCATCATGTGGTCAAATGCATCAAGTTCAGTCTTGTCACTTAAGTTGCGTAGTTTTTTAGTCGGAATAAGCATTCATTTTTCAATGACTATAGTTTAATGATGCGGCCGGTGAGGCGATGATAATAGTTATGCGAACAAAACTGCATCGCGCGTCTCAGACGAGGTGATCCAGTAGACTCACTTTAAGTAATTGTGTGCAAAGATCTCTAGATATCGCTTCAATCAAGCGTAAGGCGCGCTGAATGGGATACTTTGTGTTCCGGATTTTGCGAAGATGAGTGAAGACGGACTGGACAGCCAACCTAATCTTATCTAACTCTGTTGCAGACAGAAGGTCGTTTAAAGGAAAATCCTTCATCAAAGGATTATAGTCTGCGACTGTAGCCAATGCTTGTTGAAGGCCTAAGAACGTGAAGGAAACAAAAGAAATGCATACCAGTATCATTGTCAAAACTGACGAGGGCATGAAATCTTTTAGCATGTTTTAGAATATCCAAAGTTAGAGTGACTTCAAGAGACTCCCGTTTCTCCTGAATGCGCACTAGACTGCGTTCCAAGTTTAGCCAAAATGTTATTTCTTGAAGGGCTGTTCCTGATGCAGGGTCCCGATCAAGCTTCGTTACCTAGACAGAGCATAAGTTGAGAAACATGATAACCTTTTGGATTTCTTTGATCCAACGGTTTACGCCAGACTGCAGCGTGTTAAGGAAGTGAGCATCTTCCAGCTTGTCCTCGAAATCCGACGTCTTAGCACGTGATCCAGCATCCGCTTTTTGTCTGATGATCTGGGCAACCAACGGATGAACAGAAAGTGAAATTTCGGGAATGTCGATATTTTGTTGGAGATGGAGTAGGCCCATTTCCAAATCCGTCATAGTCTTCTCGACGCTGGGGGCCATTTTGTCGCCGTCCCTTTTAGAACTTAATGCCATGTAAGTCTATCGATATACCTTTCGGCTCTACCAGATTCTCGAATATAAGATTTGTAGAAGGGACTGATGGCATCACTAATCATGGAGTGCAGGGTTTCATAAGGTGATCCATCAGTGAAGTTAAGAAAGCGGAACTGTGAGCTAAAACTCTTGTCCGCCTCTACGGAAGGCCCACGTTTGATAAAAACAATACTGCAATGATAGAATCATGTGTGGCTACAAACCTTAGTGTCTTAGGACTAGAAAACCGGACATCTGTCATAACACTATAAGGAACACTGCCCTCAGAGACCTCCTCCTCATCGTCTAAAAATGTACAATCAGTAAAGACTTTTACCTTTATTCGATAACTTCTGTACTATGAGAGTGTGAATCTGTGGATCTGATATAAATTTTTTAATCAGTTCCCGAGTGTTCTGGTCCTCAAGAACTGATAAGAGGGTTGCAGAACCCTCGCCGGATTCCTCAAGAATGGATGTGACAGTACTATGAACATATTGAGTAAGAGAGGACAATGATGCGAAATTGGTCGCAGGCTGAGTTGTTTGTGGAGTAGTATCGCCAACAGAATCCGTCATCGATGAGAAAGTTTAACAGAATTAGGACGGATGGATACTCGAAGCGTACCGTCCGTCTAACAATACGCAACGGAAGGAGATTTGGTTATGTCGCCTGTTACAGCAGGACGAACCAGATGAATCACAGATGAATCGTGCATGTAGATAAATCATTTTACGAGACCTCTGTAAAGTAGTTAGGTAATACTTGGCGGAATACATGTGGAAGACAACAATTTTAAAGGTTTGTCTAATTGCGGACGAACATTTCCTCCTTATGTTCCACATATTTGGATCATCGTATTAGTTCTGTTGGGCAAACGACAGTTATTAAACCCATTAATAATTATATGTTTCAATGAGGAAGGTATGGGTTGTCAACAGAATAATCTCATTCCGCGACCTTGTCTTTTGCCTTGATGTGGCCGTGGCTAGCTAATGGAACTCGAATCTTTGTTCAGACTGTGAGTGGAGTAGTGTGCCTTTGGATTTGACTGCTCCTGCCTGGGTTCATTCTGAATCGCGACCGTGACCGTTGGGTCGTAGCGCGTTGACGGTGGACGTCTCTTTACAAATGTGTACTGGCAGGGCTGAGTTCAAGCTGATCCTCCAGCAGTAGATGAGGCTGATGGAGTTGGTTGCCCAACACCTATCTATTTCCTCGCTGTGACAGCCTAAAACCCCCCTCATCATGGAGTCAGGTGAGTTTCCTGACAACTGCATCACCAAACTTTTCATGTGCCCAAACAACAATTGATTCTTTCTTCAAACGACACGAAGAATTATTCCGCGTTGACCTTTCTGATCGTGACGACCCACGGAAGGTCCGACTTTGCTGCGCAAACTCGGGTCCGCCGAACACGACAACCATTGCAATTTCCTCTTACCACAAAATACGCTCCATCCACTATTCGCCGAGCCAGCGCGAACACACAATGATGAGCAATCCTCCTCAATTTTCGTGGTACCAGCTGGATGGTGCGGATTAATGCCTGTAAAGCCTAACTCAGGTGCTGGTTGCGACTAGAACCGGTAGAAACCAATAGGGTACTAAGTATATAGAAGTGACCAAATAAATAAATATTTATGCTCGACAAAGCGAGGTAATTCTTTTGGGCTTGCTCAGAATAGCGCAATGTTGTACATGATGGCATAATTAGCAGGTCTAAGCGTAAGTGTAATACAGATGAAGTCAGTAGCGTAGAGCCACCTGGCCCACAGATTAAATGGTTTGTCCTTGCAGAGTGCGCGCTGTAAAGATAAGGATTACAGAGATCATTGGAGTGCAATATGTGTTGGTGAGAAAATGGTCTGTTAAGGTTATGTACACAGTATGATCAGGTGAGTGAAGCATCAGGACCATCTGTTGAAGCCTTTTAAGAGCAGTGGCAAGTCACTGATCAAACATGTACGTGTAGTCGTGTGATAGCGTATATAGGCAAAGAACAGGTGATATGTGGTATCGGTCAACTTGCCAATGCGTAGTAGGGGAAGTGATTTTATTTAGCGACGAGTCACATCCGCCACGGAGCAGTGTTGTTAAACAGACATTTGTGATTTTGTAGGGAGAACGCTTGCCATGCGAATAGTTACCGAGTCTTAAAATACTGCCGAACGGTGATAAGACGTTGACTAAGTTGCCTCCTAACTGATTGTCCTCGCAATTATTCTCAGCCATGTTTCGCCAATTTATTTCGTTTGCTGCGCAGGTAGCTTCTTCGAAGTCGACAGCGACTGATTGGAGCTGGTGAAGTCGGAAGCCATAAGCGTCTCGTATCTCGTAGATTATCTTTCCAAATTCCTTAGTGTGTCAAGGTTGCGAAATGTAAAGATTGCAATGACCAGTTTTGGTTCCGTGGCCAGCTGGACGTCGCCGGTATGTACTCGGCGGTGTTTCATATGGATAATGCTATCCGTTAGAGAAGTAGAGAAGAAACGAGATCGATGAAACTGTCAAGGTAAATGAACAGACTATGTTAATGTATGGATAAAAACCTTTTACTAATTTCGTAGTGAGTAAACTCAATGGATGAACCGAAACATGTGATTTAGCCGATCTGCCATAGAATTAAAGACTGGTAGCTCAAATTGTTTAGATGGCGGAATAGAGTACAGGTCACGCACGAGTTGCTCAACAGCACATCCGAGGATAACAGATTTACCCTTGAATTAGTTGAGGATGACAAGTTACCATTTTCGGATGTACTGGTCACTAGGAATACCGACGGATCTCTGCAAACTTGCGTATATCGGAAGAATACTCATACGGACCAGATATTAAACTACCACAGCATCCACCCCATGAATTACTAGAGAAGCTGCATCCAAATCCTGTTTAACAGAGCGGATACGCACTGCAGCACAGCCGAATCCCGGAAACAGAAAGAAAATCGCATAGTTCGGGTTTTGGAAACGACGGTTATCCGAGAAACTGCATCAGAAGAAACTTAAAGAAATGAATGACTCAACAGAAGGCACCTGAGCAAGCAAGCAAACGGCTAGTGCTCCCCTACTTCAAGAACGTCTCCAAACTAACAGGAAGTTTGCTGCGGTCACATGGAACTTCTGTGGCTCAAAAGCCAAGTGTCAACCTAAGGAACCTGATCTGAAGACCCAAAGAAACATTCCTCAAGCTGACCAATGTAGTGTCATCTACTAGATAAAATGCAAGGACTGCTATAAAATCTATTTCGGACCAACTGGTAAGAAGCTTTTACACGAAGCACCGAAGAAAAAGCGGCCGTAACGTGGCATGATCCGCACTCATTGGATTCTGCGCATGAGGATCGAGAAGGCCACCATTTCGATCTGTAGTATGCAAAGACCCTAGCACATGGAAGTACAAAACACGCGAGGGAGTCCTTGGAAGCCTTGTACTCTACAACGAATTCAATCAAGCGACAAATCGTACTGGACGCGGTATGCGCAACACTACTAACGAACGACCGCCAACACGATCACTTGAATCCGGTGGAACTTGTGACTAGACGACCAGAACCGACGACAGACTCGCTCACCAGAGCAAGCAAACAAATGCCAGGAAACACAAGGAGTCAAGGTCAAAGGTCATCTGCCCATTAACCAAGCTAAACGCGGATTGAAGATCCAACCAAAAGGAGTACCCATCTCCATGAGTAACCACGGCGGTACAAAAAGCGCACGCACACCATGCACAGCCCATTCACGCCCTGGCTCTTCTACGCTACTCTAAACTGCTGCAGGTCACTCAACTACGCACTGATGATGTCACCTTGCTTTGTGACGAAAAGTTTGCAACCAAATTGTCAGGCTCAGCGAACAGCTCAACCGCCAGAGCTGGTATTTCGCGTGGGGATACGAGCTTCGTCATTTCCTAAACGCAAGAGAAAAGTGCTGTTTGAATTTGTCTAGCGTAAGAAGTATTTGGCATGTGCGGAAATCGAAGTATCAGGCATTGTTAACAGGAGAACTAGTTGACGGAATTAAAAGCTCATAGGAAGTAATGGACCGTGCGACCAGGATGTATGTTGCGTGATTAAGCGTCAGTGGTGGGGCTTGTCGTGCGAACATGTGAAATGGCCGGAGAGGCTGGTACGCAAGGCTAGGGACCCATGAGACGACTGTTGTAACAAGATCAGTAATCGGACGCTAGCGAAATAGTTGCGAGCTCGTGGGAGGTGGTGGTTTGGCTAAGTCGCGACAAGTAGCTAGTAGATGGACGTCTTTATGGGCTAAGTTAAGTAGAAGTAACTGGCGCCCATCAAACAGTAACAAGTGCCTTTCGAGTAGAATAGTGCTAAAGTGGGGTTGCGCCTCGGAATTCCGGCTAAAGGGAGACGTGTATGCATGTAGGACGTATAAATCTAACCTGCATTTAATAAACGTGATAAACAGCGGAGCAAGCAGTGGTGGACGGTGTGGGGGATGGGACTAACTATTATCGACGGGTGGTCAGGTGGGAGGAAGTTAAGTTCTACGGGGCTGTAGTGCTGTCTCGCACTGTCCTTGTGGAGGCCTAGGGCTGAGAATGGAGAAGTGGACCTTCTGACCTTTACAGCATGTGTGTCCGTGGTATAGATTAGTACCAAAACAGAATAACGTAGAACAGGACGACCAACTGGTGCTGAGGATCACAATCAAGTGATCAGCCCTTGTTTCCTTGGTACCAGGATAGAGAGACAAGGAAAAACAAAGGCTGGATTGGCCAATTAGGACAGGGAATGCCATGCATCCATCGGATGGGTCACGCGAGGAGTGGAATTGATAAGCTGATCCCATTATGAAAAATGCGAACTTGTAAACCTGTAGAGAGACGTGAACATATCTTGTCGGAGTAATCCAGGCGTTTCAGAAGCAGGGGAAATCGTAATCCGGCTATGGTCCTAAAGGACAAAGAAAGACAGGCGACATACTGAATTGAATTTAGCGAGGACTGAGGTATAGCGTTGACACAAAGCATATACATAAAATTAAGCCAAGGTTAGAAGGTGAACCATACGAAGGGCCGAAGTAGTACACTGTAAAGAAGGGTCTAGCAAAGTTGTTGAAACCTGTGACGCTCAAGTGGCCCGAAGCTGGTGTTAGAGCAATGAAGGAGGCACTTGTCTGAAGAAAGGGAGGTGACCACTGGATAGTACGGTATAGTCCAGAAGGGATAGTGGTGTAGAGAAGAATCGAAACTATTTCTTGGCCCGCGTTCAAAGTTGAATCCTTGCTATAACGGCCCTCTCTCCCGTTTGCCTTTCAGAGCGCCTTTCCTGCTCAATTACCGGAGGAGAACAAGAACACGACATTGGTTAACTAGGCTACGTGTTGCATAATAGTACTTCGTGCTTAACCCTTGGAGTTCTTCCGTGCTTGCGTGTTACAGTAGAATGAACCCGACAATGAATAGGTTATGCGTGGACGAAACTGTGTGTGACAGACCTTAAGAAGCCATGAAAACCCAGGTGGGCAAATCCGAGAGACAAGAGGAAATCGGGGATCGGTTTTATACCTGAGGCAAGGAAGGAACATGCATACGTAGAATATATCAATTAAGCCCAAGGTTTATCGGGACCCCTAGCCTACTGAAAATGGCTAGTGGTGCTGAAATGAATATCGTTGAGAGACGGTTCC